ACGGAGATGACCTTGCCATCACCTTGATCTTATCGACCTTCTGCATTCTCTCTTCTGGTGTGTAGTTTCGGAATTCAACACCTTCTACAACTTCATCTTCTCCCCTAGAATCCGATCCTAGAATTCCACATTCTGTGGCTATGGCTTTGGCCGTAAAAACATTATCTCCAGTGATCATTTTGATTTCCACCCCTGCTGATTTACAAGTCTCCACAGCCTCTCTGACCCCTTTGCGACATGGATTCTCAAGGCCAACTATCCCTAGGAGAGTTAATCCATCTTCCTTAATCCTTCGGCCAGAGTTTTCTTGGTCATCATTTCCTTCTGTTTCTTCTTCTGAAACTTGCTTGTGAGCAAAAGCAATGCATCTAAGGCTACTAGCTGCCATGTCCTTGATTATCTTCTTCATTGCGCTCCTTGCATCTTCATTCATCAATCTTGTTTCTCCGTTACTGTCGTAATAATTTGAACACATAGCTAGAATCATCTCTGCAGCACCTTTCCAATGTACATGAATGGTACTGTCAGCGTTTTTCTTAACCAAAACCCCACTTCGTTTTCTCTCTGAATTAAAGGTTACCACATGGAGAATGTTGTAATTCTGCTTCAATTTCTCCATATCCATACGCAAATCTGAGACAGCCCAAGACAGAATTGCTTTCTCTGTTGGACTCCCAGAAATCTCGGGTTCAGATCCCGAGGCAGAGTTGAAAACACTTCCGGTCGTGTTCAGCCCAACAGCCTCGTTGAAGACTTCAAGAACATTTGATGCAACTGAGTTGGAAGAATCGTCAGCAATGCATTCCGGGCCGACCCACCATTGGGCGACTTTCATCTGATTCAATGTCAAGGTACCTGTTTTATCAGTACAGATAACTGTAGCCAATCCCATTTTTTCACAAGCCGAAGGCTTCCTAACCATTGCCCCATCATCCTTCATCCTCTTCAATGGTAAATCAACCGCGAGCGTGACAGCTAGTGACCGACCTTCGGAGTTAGCCACCACCACAATAGAGACTGCAGCGGCAATTATTTTGAACACCACATTTAAGATGACGGCCTTCACCACCATATTTAAGATGTTATCTAGGATTGAATGGCTACTAGCATATTTCTTAAATCCACTGTTATGTCCTGTAAAATAATGAATGAAACTTATTACAGAAGTCAGGAAGGACAAGATGTAGCCAATCTTTCTGATAGAGGAGGTGAGTTTGTCCAGCCGATCTTGTATTGGTGTTCTTTCATTGGAATCCCGGCTAAGTGAGGCCCAGGCGGTGCTCATTCCCACGGAGGCCACAAGCATTGTGGCAAAGCCATCAGCCACCTTCGATCCAGAAAACAAGAACGGGTTCCGATCAGAGTCTACTTCGACATGATCACTTTCCCCTGTCATGCTCGGCTTATGCACCTGCAGATAATGGCCGGTCAAGAACAACCCATCAGCCGGAATTTGATCTCCGATCTTCAAACACACAACATCCCCGACAACAAGATCGAATATGGAAATGGGTCGCCGGCGACCGTCTCTGACAACATCCACTTTGATATTGTTAATTATTGTCCACAACTCAACGGCCCCATGGGCTTGCTGTCTGAAATTACTGAAAGCAGAGACAACCACGATCAGAAAGACTGCAATAAAAATGCTTCCGCCTTCATACCATCCCTTTTGGGCACCGTGTTCTTTGATCCCATATCCAAGAGCAAGAGCGGCGCATACCAGGAGTATGAGAATTGTGGTGTCCTTGAAAGCATCTACGACAAAATGGAAGAACCCTTTTGTCGGCGGCTTCTGGTAGGTGTTTGAACCAAACTTTTCCTGCCTTTCTCTAATTTCTTCCTCATCATCTCGGATCCCATTTTCTGGGTTCGTCCCCAGAGCAGCGGCAACGCCTTCAACTCCACCGAGTTGGCGAAGAGAGACTGAGTCTTTGTCTTTCACCATCTGGCCTAGTTTAATCTTATCAACGCCTGAAGCTGGGGGG